TAATCCAGGTAAACTAGGTAAATATCTGCAGACGGATAACCACATCTTCTATCTCATGCCAAATCCTCAAGTAAAATTTGCAATTTGAAAAATCCCGTCGAATGCCGCGAGTTTTTTCACAATTGACTCAACTAAATTAATCAAATCTGTCAAACCTCCTTAGTAAAATGAAAAGAACCTCCGACTCGCAGTTTGACGGCCGAACCGAGGGCGACGCTGTATTAAAGTAGCATGCCATAAAAAAGTCGTCAAAAGCGGATCATCCGGTTCGCGTATATCCACGCAGAAAGAAACAATATAACAAGAGAAGATATTAACATACGCAAAGTGCCCCTAAATCCACCGAGTCGCCCTTTTTCCATTTTTGCAGCGGAAGAAGGCGTTTTTGCTGGATAAAAAATAAAAACGACTACAATCAGAAAAAACAGAACACTACCCAGGTTTAGCAACTCTGTATCATAGGGGCAGTTCTTATTTCCACAAACGGACGCGCCTGTGATCTTTTGTGTATACTCAAGCCTATGGAGGTTTAGAAGCGTATAATCCAGATACTGATCCAAGACCTCAGCCCTAACCCCTATTTACAGGGTCCAGAAAAAAGTGACCGTAAGTGTCTTTATTCCCATGCAGGACAGGTGGGCAAGACTTTTGTGAGGTAAAAAGCACGGTATGGCCTACGTCGCACACTTAGCGCGTAATCGATCCGCCTCTCATACTCCTCACAGGCTTCTTTATAGGCAACATCACTAGCTTAAAGGATGCAATAGGCTCGAAAATACTATGCGAAAGCAGAAGATGGGCAGAGCAGGAAAACAGAATTGCGCCTTTTTCCAGTACAAAACCTGCTTGATACTGACCGATCTGTAGACCCTTAACAACACCCTTCCGAATACGTGTTTGGGTACGAACCATTTTTACAATGCGCCACGTGGAGGCAGCCTTTATACGGTGAGTGAATACAGAACTATACAAATAGGTGGAATAAATGGCCTATCTAAACTGGCCGTGGTTTCCTATAGTTCCCGGATTTACACCTCTTTGCTTTAAGAAGGGTTCTCTCACTTATGCTTCTCGCATGGTGTTTTAAGTTACTTATTGTATAGGTTAGTCTGTGCGACACTAAAAAATGACCTTGCTGCTTTACATTGCGTTTTCTGCATGAATTAAATTTGCTGTATCCTGCCATTGGCTAGTGATGTTTTGCTGGGAGGAGATGCAGCTGATGAGCGGTCCTAGAATTTGGTTAATCCAATACAATTTAAACTACTCTCTTGCGTTAAACTCATGCCGCAGAGGAACACCCTCATATTTATTATTTGTCGAAAGACTCAAAAGTTAGATAGGCGTGAACTATGCTGTTGTTCAGAATAAGAGGGTGCAATCTCCTGAACAAGAGGATACGTGGCCTGACCCTTTTAAGATTTCGGCCTGAATCCATCATCGAAGACAACCGTATATGTCTCTGATGACTGTTTCAAGCCGCAAGCCGACACCTTAGGCCCATAAATTTCTTGTTCCACCGATCGCATCCTGTACTTCTGAACTGCTTCCTGGAAGTCACCTGTCCGCTTCTATGTGCTGGTGATTTTTAAAAGGGTCAGCGATAGACAACGATGACTTAATACATGGTCACTACCAAAAGGACTCTTTTAGAAAACAGTGAAATAAAGAGCAATAATATTGATAAAGATTAGATCTAAAATATGATAACGTTCTCACAATTTGTTGTATCCAGTGATCGTTGCCCTACTTGCTTGCTTAACATTTAAACTGAGCAAAAGATGCATTAACTTTCAGATGACATCATGTACGGCATACGTACCACGTGGTCGATCCAGTTCTCATATTCCTCACATGCTTCCCGATAGGCGGCATCCTCATCTGCATCCTCGCAGTACCAGCCGAAACACTATGCGAAAGCAGAAAATCGACAAAAATAAGACTAAGCAGGAGAACAGAGGGGGCAAAAGGATGTCAGATAGCTAACCTCAGCTTTGTAAACAAGGGTACTGTGACATCGCGACTGCTCCCTCGAAAGCATACTGAAGTGCAACTGGTCAATACATTTCCCGCCTCCATTCGTCTCACCTATAAGTCAGGTCAGAAAAGACGAAACGACAACTTACAGTCATAATAAAGATACTCGATACATTTAAGTATGCCACAGGAATTTCACAGTAATACTAATAGTAAAAAACGGACTGCCTGATAGCGGCTAGTAAGCTATAAATAGCTATTCCGCACCCCCAGGTAAATGTCGGCAATGTTTTCCTGCCTATAATATGCTAGCTGTTGTGTGGCTGTTGACGTGGTTCGAGAGTGAGCTCCAATGGAAAATGGGGTGATTACGTCCCGTACCTACTCCGTGCGTGTTTATCAACTAACGCGATTGTTCTTCGTTTGAAGTTTGCCAAACGCATGCGCGGCAAAAGCTAAGGACACACAGAGACTACACGTAGTCGGACAAGCGCATTTCTTGAGAAAATGTACTCCACCTTTTGGCTCAACATATGTAGTTCGACCGTCGTTTCAAATGACGTTCACCATGTGGTCCACAGCAGTGTAGAACAGAAGCAAGAATTCAATCAAAATAATCAGTGAAAAACAAACTCCGCGTCAGTCTTCACATTTAATGTAAATGACAAGAGTCGAGAAAACCTGCACGAAATAGGTGGGCCTTTTAGGTTATAGCCGACGGGAAAGTGTTACGCCGTAACCGTGCCTGACCGAGTAGGTAGGTTTATTATATAACACACGCAGCTGGTGAATACCCGACAAAGTTGAAAGTAAAGCTTTTCGTTTAACTGCAACAAGAATGTCATGGACATAAATGGAAAACCTAGCCCAACTCACCACCGAAATCGTCAGACAAGAAGGTAAAGGCTTTAAGTTCACTCCAGGAGAGCAGATTGAATAAGCTGTTTGAGCTGTTTTCCGGATACGGCTCCATTTTTAACTAAGAATATGAACGGAAGAAAATCACCTATGAAACGTTCTTATACTCTACCAGAATAAATCAAGTCATTCACTTCCACCAAACAATGAACTACAATTAAAGAAGCGACGGCCTACCTTATCTTTGCACATCAGCGTCTCAAAGACTGCCTTGAAGTCATTAAGGGTTGATTTGTTTATCACATCTTTTAGTTTTGAGCAGACATTTGCAGCCATTGTCTTGGCACACTGAAATAAGGGAGGTTGGTAGGTTAGAAGTTAGCTCAGTGAGGCGAGACCTCTGTCGTGATTATGACTGTAAAATATGCTGCTGTAAGGCCATCCACGAATCAGGTTACGAGGGATGGTCATGTGCCCTGGGGTATACAATTACGGCGATCGATCAGATGCAAGGATGATAAATGAACCTTGCAAGTATTTGACCGCCAAAATAATTGGTCCGACAAATGGATACTGAGTTTTGACTCCAAGAAGTGTGGCTTTCCGCAGCTCAAAACGAAGGAGGGTCATAATGAAGCTACTTAACAATAATTCCTGAGAGAAATGCGCTTTTAAAAGTTAACCGAACAAAAAGAGATTGGAATCATCTTAAACTCTGAGGAAGTTTATATTACCGCGAATTCTGTCGCCACTCGTTTTTATATAGTGTTGTCGGTGCCTCCTCTTTCAAGCCAAGCGATTTCTCAATGTAAGTATATTACTACCTATTTTATAGTAACGTATCTGTTCTAATTCAAATATTTTACTAAGGTCTTCAAAGGCGGTGCATATTACCTAAATAGACTGAAAAATGGCAAATTCCGTTTTCATAGCCATCCTCAGCCAGGCATTCTTGACAAGCAAGTTATGATAAAAAGAGATTCGAGTCCGGAATCCTTGGTCGCTGAGCATCTGTTAGCCCAACGCAATCGACCATTGAGCTGCGCGTCCTTTCTCCCATGGGTTCGATCAGGAATACTAAATAGGACGGGACAGGTGAGACGTTCACCGATCAGGCCTGTTTGAATTTAATGTCTAGGAGGACGAAAAATTGAAACATCCGTCACAACTTGACTAACATTTTCTGTAACCCCGATCGATGAATTATTTGCCTCAATAAAAAATACATTTTCGACAAGCAGATGCGATGGGAGTACGAAGAAAAACTGCAGGTTTCAATTGTCTCATACGCATTAAAGGTTAGGCGACCTATACTCACCTTAATCGCATCCCGACCCTCCCAAAATATGCCCAGGGGACAGT